GACATTGCTTCAGAAGATACATCCATTTTTCACTATAAATATATAGACTGTTAAATTTCTCAATATTTTATATTTATATACAGAAAACATACATTTTATGTTACTTAAAAAGAAATGGAAATTTTACAAAAGGACATTACTAAAAAATTCAGAACATATATTACAACTGTCAACTACAAATAATAAATGTTGCACAATACGAGCGTACCTCTTATAGGACATATTGCCAAGTTTAGGATTAATGGATAATCTTTTATCCTCAAGCTCAAAGTTTTCTTCGAGTACGTGACCGTTGCAAGAATAATAGACGTTCACTTCGGTGACTATTAATTCTTAATTAAAACATCGAACAAGAAACGCACTACCGTCGAAAATCATCCTCAAACAACACCCTGTTATAAACAATCTCGCTTATTTGGGGGATAATGTAATGCCGATTAACCGAGATGAACGAATCCAGTTTCGAAAAGAATAAATATCTTGGACGACGATGAAGAATACAAAAGAAACAAAGAAGAAAGTCGAGGAAGCATGACGCCGATGGTTACCGATTCGACACCCTGAACGAGCGACTGCAAAGGCGTCACACGACGCCGACCTTACTTTCGGGGCCGAGCTCGGGCCCGGCGAGGATGAGCCCGAAGGGGCCCGGGAGCCAGGAAGGCCCGAAGATGGAGGTGCGGGTGTCGTGCGTGCCGACGCCCGGCGCCGAGCCGCAAGGCGTCCGCGTCCGTATACCGGAGCCGAAGAAGCGACCCATGAGCCCGCCTCTTCTCGAGTCCACCGTGACGCGCACCAGGTGCCCGTCCGTTCCGGAGAAGGACTTCTACCGGAAGACCTCGTCTCTGGGACGGCGGGACCGTTATCCAACTTTATCCGGCGCCGAGATCAAGCGGGGCCTTAGCCCCAATTCCGCGGAGTCGCTACAGACACGCAGACGGAACCCGATGCTGGACCGGAAGAACCGATACCCGACCATCACCGGCGCGGAACTCCGACGGGGTCTGGCGATCGGCAAGTGTCCTCTCGAGGACGGCCTGGATCTCAGCCTGGCACCGTGGCCCGGCATGAAGTGGGCCTGCGTCCGAGTGCTGCATCTGTACTGCAAGGTGTTCGGCCAGTTCGAGCTGTTTGAGCTGATCGTTAGGTAATTGCATGCGACGGTTGACGATTTGGTAAATGTGCCTCGTACGAATAAAAATGAGTGTACACTTGTAAACCTCGATGATGTTATTAATATATTCAAACGAGCTTTAATAGCTTTTGTTTATAACACATTCGAGTTTAAATTCGTTACATTTGAAACAATTGCCAGAAAAATTGTGCAAAGTTCGGAAAACTTGAATTTTTCTATCGTCAAATTATTTAACATAAAATCATCGAGTCGCAATAAAGAAATTAATTCATTGGTATGAATTTGAATTAAAACGTAACATTTCGAACATACCTCGGAAATTGTTGTAACAAATTCTAAGAGCGCAGATTCTCTTTCTCTAATATTTCAGAGAAAGAATCAAAGTATTTATTTTGGAATAACCAATCAAGATAAACTCTTGATCCCATTGGAATCGGAATTGTTGGCCGGATTTGTCCGCGAAAGATTTTACGTGGCCCAATCTATCAACGGGCTTTTAGGAGATCGCTAACGTCCAGTGAACACAGCGCGAACGCAATTAGCTGCCGTTAGTATCTATTAGGCGAAGCCTCTAACAGTTTCCCCAGTGCTTTACGATGGAAAACGACGAGCAAGCAGCGCCAAGCCAAACCCAACCGAATGATTTATGTTGGACTACGTTTGTAGGTTAATGAAGTTGATTTTTCACGCTGCCACGTTTGCTTGCGAACCAGATTTTATCAAGTACGCGGCCTGTCTTGCTTCTCCTTACCGCTACGTCTTCTTATTATATAAGATGCAAAGGGCTGTCATTCTGTACGCTTCTTTGACCAACGTTACAGAAATAACTTCTTTTTCCCTATCGGATCTATTAACATCTAACGGCATTAACTATAGGCCAATCCTTATAGCATGAGAAACGATCTTTGTTTGGTCTTTTTTCCCCCTTTTGCTTACAAGTCGCGTTTCTCCACTCTTTCGACTTTGGCACTTTTTCTTCTTTGCGCGTTCTCGACATGTTTTACGCTTCTGAAAAAAAGAAGGACCTCCCGTGAAATTTATCGCGCTATTCCGCGCGTCACGCCTCCCACTTGTAAAATTAATTCGCCGTACCGATATCTGATATGATCCCGAAATGAAATTCCTCTTTGATGTTCTTGAGTCTCGATTACTGAATCATAAAGTAAACCACGGACACATAGTAGGAGATATATTATCGCGGGCAAATAATGTGAATTCCTAAAAATGATGTGTAAGAAGTAATTCCGCGTGAGCTCTTACGAAAAAAATGTTAAGATATAGTTAATGTCTACTAAAATTTGTTGTCAAATTTATGATCTTTAAAAACAGGCAATGGTAAAGAATAGAGGCCGTAAATTCAGTAATGTGTTTAGCGCAAAGCATACGTTCTATATGTAAATTGAATATTACGTTTCACCTAAAAGATACATTTCGTATGTGTCTTTTGGCTTATGCTCATGATTCACCGCACGTGTCAGTCTTTTTTGCCGTAACTGACAATAAGTAAGAGTTAAAAATAAAAAAGAAATTTCGAACGTTACACACTTGCAGTGACGCGTATGTGCGCGCAACGATCGTCGATGTGAGTTTGAGTGGATTACAATCTTCATGCAAGTATAACGTAACACGTTCGCCGAATTAACGAGGCGTCAACATTAATTTGCACGAAACCCCGCGTAAAGTATCGAAACGCGTTCGGCAAGGTATAAGATTAAGGCTGTAACGAGGGCATCGGGGGAAGGGACGAACGAATTGCCTTTCAGGATCTACGAGGATTTTTTTATAGCGCAAGATTCCTCGTAAAACCGCGAATTACGGTCCGCTGGCAAATAAGATAATTGTACGGCTGACATTATCAACGTGACATTACGGAAATCGCCGATGATACGCCCCCGGAGACGCTTCGCGCGATAAAAAAAAAGTTATTCTTGACATCTTGCATTTTTGTGTACAGCTTGCCCTTTATCGATTAAAAAATTGTATATATTTGGAACAGCAAATTATAACAGGATAAAAAAATAATGCTACAATTTTAACATAGGCCCTTTAAGATATAAAATCAATTAGAAATTAAAGAGGCCGTTTAGGACCGGGCATAGGTGTAAGTAGCCAGTTAAATTAAATTATTAAGTGAATTCATATGCCGTATTCTTTCCAACTTATCCTGTGCGCCAGTTACATACTAGTCTTTTAACACAGGTTAATCCCCTAAAAAAATGTATTATTCTGTGTAAATTAAACTATAGTCTCGTTGTTGTATGGTAAGAATATTTTTAATAGAAATTTTATGAAATTTTGTACTATTCTACAATAGTAAAATGTATATATAATTTGTTATACCAAAAGAAATAATATTACATTAAAATGTTACACTAAAAAGAAATCAAATACAGGTTAGACACAATAAAATGTTGCTCACTAATAACTCATATAAATTTAATTTACAATTTAAATAACATACACACACACACGGGGAAAAATATGTCATACGTTCAAAAGGAAATTAATAGCCCCGTTAAGATTGATATAAACTATCGATAAAATCGAGCGATAAAAACTACCTGGTAAAACTTCGTATTTCGAATAAGTAAAACGAGATATAAATTATTCAATGCTAATTTACGACGGATGTCCGTTTTTTTTGTGTGCAAATGGAGTCTTAAAATAAAGACAAGAAGCACGAATAAAAAGAAAAGGAATATATTCTTATCTACGCGATAATTGGCCTCCTTATCCGGCCGCTATCGTGTAGAAGAGGCATAGATATATAGTTGCGAGAGAAGGTCTCCCTGGCATTAGCGGCGAGGGTCTCGACGGCCTTGGGACTGACATCCGGAAGGGTGCGGTAAAGCCGCGATAAACGTCCGGCGCGCAAATGCATCCCCTTGATTATACGATCGCCGTTCGATACGGTAGTGCTGGTATCGATCCGGGGCTTCTCGCACGCTCTTTTCGCCAGTAAAAGTTTCCTGTCGCACCCACGCGTCTCACGTACATATGGATATTGATATCTTTCGCACACCTCGCTACCAATATTATGTATTACTTATGCTAATCGGCCGCGTCTGTCACAAGGCTAATCGCCGATCGATCCACGATCTATCGGCGTTGTTGCGAATGAGAGGTCGCGAATACAAATGTAGAATGATATAAGTAGCTCTGGGACGCGTTCTTTACATATTTATATTTTGTAATGCGGTAAAAATTCTCTAGTCGACGTTTATTTCAACTTAGTTTTCGGTCATTAGAATCTATTCTTTCGTATTTTCGTAACGTTCAATGCAGTGGCAGCGACAGTTATTGTTCTCACCTTTTTTTCTGACGTCTTACTTAATTACCATTCCGCTCAATCAACGTTTGACTTAATTATCTAATGCAACAGTGGCGTTTAGCTTTACAACGCGATAGAACAGTAATTGATAAATGGTAATAATTATCGCAAAGCTATTCGCGAATATTTAGAATTAACGCGGCACTGTTAAAAGCGTCGTCGTAGGACAAAGAGAAAATATAACGCAAATTCCAAAAATAAAAATTGCTGGCATTCAGCCTAATTATGTGATTATCGGCGCACGAGCGTGACGTAGAAAGGTAATAAAAGTTTATTGGACACCTCATTACAGCGCCCCTATGTCTGGAGTTAATGAACGGCACGCAGCAAATATTTATCGAAGTACTCTTTTCCCGGACGAAAGAGATTTAATCGAAAGACTTTAATTGAGTCGCGAGATCTTACACATATAATCTTTTTCACCCTGCAATTAAATCAGAGCTCATATCGGCCTGTCGCAGAGTGTCCGGGCGATGGAAAGGTTGCGCGCGTGCTGAGGAATCGATGCCTAATAACAATATATTTTTCTTTCAGAAAGAACTGCACTAGCTGCAAGTGTCCACGCGAGGCCCACGATGTCTGCCACGAAGAATGGGTGTCCGTCAGATCTCGTTTGGGACTTAAGGGCGACGAGTCGAACGGTCCTATCGGCGTGGATCCCAGAGAAAGAGGCCTCGCCTGGGCACCTCCCGGACTTCCATCGCACAAGGTGAGTTCTTTTCCTTACTCTTTATACTTTTGTATATTGTGAAAACAAATGTTAAAAATACAAATTATAGAAATAATATACGGGTCATAGTTATAGTTGCACATGAAGAAATATCAGGTCACTATGTAGAGAGTAAACAAAATTTCATTATCTGCATATTAAATATTAATTAAATATTTTTCGCGATAAATTTAAAATATGAAATATTTAGACATTAGCCCCCGTCACGGCTCTCAGTCCTTTATTCCTTTAAATTTATCACATTTGAGCCATAGGAATTTTATTAAATATTAATGTTTTTATTGTTAAAAAGATACGGTCACCCTTGTCTTGTTTTGTTCGCCGTCAAATAAATAATTTTAAAATTATTCCTCGCAAGTTCTTCGATTTCAATTCAGTTTATATCAGCACAAAAAGGTCATTGTATTTTTTATGAAAAAGTATCATTTTTATTTTCTACTTTGACGCAACGCAAACCTATCGCAGTTGTAATCTTTGGACGTCGCGAAATGTATCTATCACCGTTCGCACGCAGGCAGAACTCGCACAGCTGACAGAGGTGGTTTCCCTAAACGACCGTTTGCGGTTTATATCGCGAAGCGAATGGGATAATAACGGGTGGTTGTGGGCGGAGGAAAGGTAGGAGCGAAGCGTGCATAGTGAAATAGACGCGCGAGACGTTTGACGGCCGACGAGGATCTTGGCGCGTCGCCAACCTTCAATATTTTTCGAAAAATCCCGGCGCGCAGGTTTACGACCTAGAACTGATCACCCCCGGTGTGCTTTATTACGGACGCTCCTCGTGATTTTTTTTTTTACGAGTCTGAGCCACTCGCAGCCGATCAGCACTGTGATGCATTTACGATGTTTTCGATGCCCGTGCGTGATATAGAAACCGCATCGCGTAGATCGTTTGCACGTCTCGCTGAGAGTAACATGAACGAGAGAAAATCATAATTTTCAAACAGAAGCTGAAGTACGCGATAGAAACGTATATTTCGTACTTGCTAGAAAAATTGAATTACTTGTTTGTGCGTATCTGCAATAGAGATTTTACTGGTATATTATAAGTAAAGATATGGTTGCAGCTTACGTAATTAAAACTGACGAATTATTTTTCGCAGGTGGAAGAGTATTTCTCGATGCTACCGGAAATCGCTGTACCAAGACTCGGCACGCCCGGCGAACGGCACAGAGATCGTCAATTGGCGATCCAGTTACCCAAACAGGATCTAGCAAGAGCCTATTGTCGTCACTTGGATCCCAAACATGCCAGTAGCGCCGATGACTTTATGGCCGCCAGAAATGAGATTGCCCTGGACATTGGTAGCGTGCAGGAAGTTCTCGAGAGAGATCTCGTGAGTAGAGCTTTTAACTTTCAGCAACAAATATTAAAAAAATTTCGATTTCAGTCACGACATGTGACATTCGTGAAATAACGTTAGACTGTTTATTGCGACGAATTGATGAGACGTCCGCCTAGTGGGGTAAAATTTTTCGCAACAAATTTACAAATGAAAATCATTTAGACACTAACATCCTGTCTCTCATGTCCTTTATTCCTTCGAATTGGGATTCCACGTCAGAGCCTTATGAATTTTGTTTAAAAATATTTGAAAAAACTCCTGAAAATTTATGTAATGTAAATTGTCGACCCAAGAATCGCTCACCAACCGCAAAACGAGATCTTTCCATAAAATGATAGGATAGCGAAACTTGGACTCGGGAGAGAACATTGAGATTAATTTCGAGTAGCAAACGAATCGACGTAAAAGTTTCTAATATCCAGGCTTTTGTTTTTCAGGAGTGCGGCGTGTGCGAATCGTCCCTGAAATACGGCAGCCTCGCTGTGTCAGCCAGTAAACTGGGTCTCCTCTATCATCCGACGTGCTTCAGATGCGCGGATTGCAAAGAACTTCTGGTCGATCTCGCTTATTGCGTGCACGACGACATGCTTTTTTGCGAGAGGCATTATGCGGAACAACTTAAACCGAGATGCGCAGCGTGCGACGAGGTGAGTACTCACGCTTTATGCACGGAAAAAGAGAGTCGTTTACATTATAGGAACATGAAATAATACGGCAACCGTTGCTTAGACTGATTGTGTTCGCAAATATCGTGTAAAAAAATTGTGGTACTTTGATTAGCTGCAAGACAAAGTTTTATAACTTACTGAAATAATCTCTGTAACTTTTTTGAAATTTAAATCTAAATTTTATTTGCAATTTCCTTCGAATTGCAAAAATTGATATGATATTTATAAAAACATATTATAACTCAGTCAGTAAAAAAAATACAGAAAACGCACTAACATTAAAATGTAGGGAGTCTAAGTGTCCGAAAAAGAGATATGTTAATTATTCCTACTCATTAAATATCTTGATTAGGTATGTAATGGTTTATATAGCTTACATAATGTTACATACAAAGAATTTGTAACATATTAAGGCCTTTGTCTTACAATCATCGACTCCGGACGTTAGTGAAATGGCTCTTATTTCTGAACATCGTTCGCCAAATTGTGGCTGTAATTTCATTTGACAAACTCCGCAACAAGATCTCACTTGAAAAGGACCTAAACCAAAGGTCGAAACGTTGTGAAGGCGTATTCAATAAATGTGGCCAGCTGAGGTCGATTAAAATTTGAAATTTTATAAAATATATTAAGGCCTGTTGTACAATACGTCTTTTTTTTAAAGAAATTTTCGACACGCGACGTATTGTAGACCAGGCCTAAAGTTGCATAAACATGTAAAAATCGAGTTCAATGCGGTATCGTTGAGTTGTGAGTTTTGTAACATACCGGTGTCGAGACGTTTCGAAACTATTCAATAATAGTTGCATAAACAAATGTATGATTGGCGTAGAAATAATCAGAGACATTTGGGGTGGGTAAAATATTTATTTAAAAAGATATTCGCTGTTTGTACGAAACAGTAGCGGATAACATTTGCTAAGAGCAAAATTATCGTTGGGCGTTAACGAAGGAAAACCGCCGCAGTAGTCGAGGTAGGTAATTGTCAGACCGCAGTGGTTAACGGGTTTATCCTCAGCCATCTGCCTTACCGGCAACGGTACGTATCTACAATAATGTAACAGCCAGTGAAACGGGCTTTGGCGGCCGTACGAATACCCCGTGAAACACGTGAGCTCGATAAAAGCGAAATTGTACGAAAGGCTAAGGAATATGCGAAATGTAAATGCATGAGGGATAAAAAAAGCCGAGAAAGATCGCAAATACAGTATTTGATGGTTTACAAGTTGAGACTGAGAGACTGCGCGGAATCGATTATGCGCGATCCGATCGTATCTGGACTCGAATGCGCTCTTTCCCGGGATGTCGACGGAGTCGTCCTATCCATTTAAGGCGTTCTCGCGACGCCGTAAGGCTGTACGTATCGTACCGTACATCATTTCGCCAGACGTTTATTACGCCGATGGCATTGCTTTTGCATTAAGAAAACCTGAAATTTCAGTGACCCAAATATAAGCGTTGTCGTCAAGGTAGACGTTCGCGTCGAGAGTCCCGGCGATTTGGTTTTCAATGAACGCATTTTCTCTAAGCTTCAGCCTCGTTTGTCGCGGAGACGCGCATTCTTCTTTTGCGATGCAAGATCGAACAGAGGTACATTTGCGAAGCAAACTGGTTGATCGGCGCGTTTGAATTTTCTTCATTATTTATGAAATCTTTTAGCGAGATATGCAACATTTAACGCGCTTGCTCCGTCTAATGCATTACAACGCACGTATAATTCCGCTTATCGTCTTTGTATGTTGCGAAATGTTGAAGTAAGAGAGACGTTAGACCTCTCTTAAAATATCTGAAGAATAATATTAAATGTCGCGCGATATTGCATGCCGTTGTTTCGCTTGTTGCGCAGAAACTGGGCCACTTTCGGCTTTATTTAGATGAACAAAAATAGAGATCGAGTAGGATAGCGGAGGAACATCATAGTCGGCCGTTCGTCACTTTCGGAACTGCGCAATGCAAATTATATCGCGACAACACGAACTGCCGATTTATGCGCCAAGATTTCTCAGTTTTTCATTGTGATCTACCAAGCCAGTTGGCGGATCGCAACGATTTACACAAAATATTACGTTAAGCATGTTATGAGAATTACATATATACATATCTCGATTAAGCAATTTGGAAACGTTAAAAGTTTTGAAGAATTTGTTATAAACTTCTTAACACCGATCGGAAATTGTTTCGTCGTTTCAGTAGTTTTATTCACTTAAAAGTAGGTACACAAAGCACCTTTGGTCGCATCGATATTGCAATTCAAAACTTGAGACTGATTAAAGAAAATCTGTTAAATAAAAAGGGTCCCGAGGCTCCTCCGGGATTTCTTTCGGAATAAAATTGATATAAATGGCACTTTATTCTCAAACTTATCGAGAATGATCACAAAGTTATTTTATTAATTGATATGGTGAAAATTATAACGATATCGTTGTAATTCATGGAATGTAATGCAGCTTTACACGTCTCGAGTTACGTAACGCGAGATTATTCGAGGTCGCGGAATTGGCCTATGAAATATGAAAAGTGTCAGCTGTTTCGTCAAGAAATATTGCCTCAAGTTGGTTTTAATCCAACCGGAAACCTCGCCGGCCGGTAATCTATTTTGATTCCTTGTCGAAGCTCCCACCACGATGGGGTCCAGAGACTGACCCGTTCGAGTCTTTTATTAGAGCCAGTCAGAGAGTTTCAGGAAGGGAACGAAAGACGACGAAAGCGCGCGAATAAATCGACGTAATATCCTTATTGCGGTAGTAGGATTCGCACTGTTTTTTTTCAGTCCATCCAGAAAAGCGATATCTCTTCTTTTTTTCCGTCAACCGATTAACGAACGCAAAAAGAAAGGAAAGTGACCGCGCCTTTCCCTGACACGAAATCCGTCGTGTGACGACCACGGCCTGCGGTCACTCGAGAAAGGTGGTTTTGGATTTCGGTAAGTGAAGTGCGCCAGCGCGTAGTCAGACACGGTTGCGCGATAATCGCTTGAGGAAAAGTGTTTACGGGTCGGCTGCCAAGACTGTCCGCAACCGCGAGCGATCGGAAAGAAAAGTCGTCGCGTAACAGTTGACGCGGGATGGTAAGGACCCTGGTGAAATGACCCACTCGCTAATCGACTTATATCTGTATATCTGATAATAAAGTACGCAAACACACTATCCCGGAACAAAGTACACATTTCCCCTCTCCCACTCGCACCCGCGCGGACATCTCGCGCGTAAGATTGCAACGAGCATACGAAACAATTGACACAAAGACAATTCACGCTACATATTTACAATGTCGCGACGGTGTGAATTAGAGATTGCTCCGTTAAAAATGACGCGACAACGGGATGCAAAGTGACAACCGAAACTAGGATTTGCTGTAAAAAGTAACGTACTCTTATAAGACGGCTTAATTCCAAAATTTGTGCAGTACAACTCACATCGGTGCAATTTGCGAAATGTTTACGATATAAATCGGCAGAATGCGGATTGTATAAATGGAGCTCGCAATTTTTGTGGGAACAACTCGATTTTTTGGCACGGTTCGCTGGTGCATTCTGTCGAGACTTTGCGAGCGTTCTGAGCTTCGAACAAGCAAGTGGCGGGTTTTATACGAAAGCATGGCGTAACAATGACGCAACGTGTCGTAATAGGGTCACCGTAAATTTCTGGCGTATTGTCTATTTCAAGCCAGCGGCGTTTTTATGGCGTGCAACTGCTGCATGGAAATCGATATATGATACACGCATTTGGAACGGGCCTGTTGGTTATAATTTTTTATACAGCTGTAGATTTATCGTGAATTTTAAGTCAGGCGATTAAATATCAATTTATATCTTTGTGTGCGTTTGTGAAAAGGAGCTGTTTTTCAAGACATTAAGTATTGCATGATATTTAACGATTTTTAATTATTAGATATAGATAAAGATATCTCGTGCCACTGTCGCACTCACGAAATTTGAATTTACACTGATTTCAATGCGCGATAAATTTATTGTCGCCGTGCCAGAAATAATTTGAAAAGAAAACATAATATGATACGTGCAAGACGTTGTCTGAACGTTGTCAGACGTTGTCTGAATTATTTGTATGTAAATTAATCGCAACAGTGCTGCAAAGACGCGAAATTACATGGACACTCAGGCTTAAAGTGATTTATCGAGCAGTCACTTCGTAAGCCTACTAATTTATTGTTAGCGCATAAACTGGGGAAAATGTAACAGAAACAACACAAACAAATAATAAACATACTGATCTGCGGCTTGACCTATAGCGCCAATTATGTAAGGCAAGGTTTTGCTTTTAGATGCGATTCATTACGATTTAATTTTGGTTGAAGCTTTTAGTAAAAGATCGTTATTAGTTGCCCTTTTAGCTCGATGCCAACTCGTACAGCTAAAACTGTATCTATGAATGCACTCATTTGTGTTTATTATAACTCATTCATTCAGTTATTTGGAAAATTGTGCTTTAATCAGTATATCTAAGAAATTGTTTCAAGTATCAAAGTATTTATTTATATGTATATTTCATATTTATTAATATCTAAACGGACGAGAAACTAACGCGGCCCGAGAAGCACGAGATAAATGATGTCCGAAATAGCTATCACTTGAACGTAATTGTAGCCAATGTTTTGCAATCTGCTGATGAATGAGATGTTTAACAAAAATAATTAGAATGTCAGTGACATCCTTGCTGGTAAGAAACGCTATGCGATGGCAAGGGGGTTGCGCGCCTCTCGAACGCCAAGCATTCTACCTAGGTCTTTGCACTTGACCATTTCCTGGTTGCCAGAGGTACGCTTCATCTTGATCGGCCGAGTCTGTCACTATAATTACTTCCGAGATTTCCATTAAAATGAAGTTTCGAGTCTAGAAACTATTTTCGCGGCAAATAATAATTTTTTAATTAACTTGAGGAGATGCTTGTCTTAAAATTTTAACGTGCCACTTAGCCAAATTACACCTGCTGCAAACGTTTAATTCGCTTTATCATAATCGA